TATTTCATATGCTAGACAAACACCGGACTGTGAATCACAAGGTCTGTAGTTCAAGTCCACCAGCCACTCTGTGGGAAAAAGATGAGGCTCCTGTGAAGATGTAAAGCCTTGAAAACCTTATATGTGTCGACTAGACGGCACTTTAACAACATGAGTCAAAATGATGGGGCTTTCTGCCGCCGTAAAGATTTGTGGCCTCAGAAACCCTGTGCAGGGTCGCTATGAGTCGGAACCAACTCCACGGTACTTAACAATAACAACTGTTTATCAACTGTCTTTAACAGTCTATTACTATAAAGCCTTTTCATAAAAGGAACTTTTTAAATGTTTGCCATTCATTAGAAAGTTCCACCTACAAAATGGAGTACTGGTGTGGTGCTGTAGGATAAGAAATGGACTGCTAACCACAAAGTTCAAACACATCAGCTGCTCCTCAGAAACTCTATAAAGGGTCACTATAAACTGGAACCAGCATGATGACACTTAGTAACAACATCTTGCTGTTAAGTGCAGCCGAGTCAGTTCCGACCCATAGTGGCACTATATAGAGTTTCCAAGAAGCAGCTGGTGAGCTTAAGCCGCCAACATTGCAGTTCAAACTGACTAGGTAATGCAGGACATTAACCCACAGTGCCACACTAGGACTCTACCACCTACAAAATAACAAAACCAAAAGGCTGGCGGTTCAAACTCCACAGAAGACCTGCTCCCACAAAACTTACATAGAACTCTATGAGGCAGTTCTCTGACACATGATTGTTACAAGTCAAAATCAGGTCAATAGCACCAAATAACCCACAAAATTATATAAATTTATGAACAGCACCAACCACCCACAAAATTATATAAATTTATGAATTAATAAATTTTGTATTAAAAACTTTATAAAGTTATATATAAGGTTCAAGTAAAACAATCTTTGTTGCCTTAAGCAAACATTTGCTCTCACAAATGTTCAATGACAAACTAGTGACATTACAGATCTTCCATGGTTAAAAACAGTTTCAAATTAATACACAATAATTTTCAAATTTAAACAATGTAAAGAGCCCCAATATAAATGAGATAAATAACATCTCAGCTACTTGTTTCTTGGCACTTAACAGAGTAATACTATTTATAATTTAATAAATTGCAATCACTGGTGAATACTAAAACAAGCTACTTGCCCAAAGAATGATTATAATCACAGTACTGTGCAGGACATTTAACTGGTACCATAAATACAATGTGGAGTTTGTTGCAGAGAGAATATTGCACACATTTAGTAAACTGGTGGGTACCAGCTTACTAGAAAGTAATTAGATTGCAACATATCAATTCTTTTCTTAAAACAAACTCCCTCAGAAACAAAACAAAACTCACAGAAGGGTGTAATGGCAACTCTAAGGCTAAAATACACTGATAAAACTGTAAAAATTTAGGATACCAGGACACTTTACATTGAATTCTCAGGTGAATCTTATTTCTTCATCAGGTCCAGATGGGTGAATTTGTTGTTGTTGTTGTTAAGTGCCATCGAGTCGGTTCCGACCCATAGCGACCCTGTACAGGGTTTCCGAGGGTGTAAATCCTTACGGGAGTAGAAAGCCTCATCTTTCTCCCGCAGAGCGGCTGGTAGTTTCGAACGACTGATCTTAAGGTTCGCAGCCCGATTTGTAACCACTTCAACGACACCCTAAATCCACTACTTGCCATTTCAACTCATAGCAAGCCCATGTGTGCTGAGTAGAACCGCACTCCACAGCAAGCTGTGACCTTTTGGGAGAGCTTTGGTAGCGCAATGAGTTAAGCACTGGGTTGCTAACTGAAACCTTCTGGAAGCAGATCACCAGGACCCTCTGGGTGGGTCTGACCACCAACCTTTTGGTTAGTCAAGTGCTTAACCATTTGTACCACCATGGGACTTGGGTAATAGTGTGAGGATACTTACATTTTAGACAAGTCTTTGACAAAATTACAGTAAAATCTGAATAGTAAACACAGGCATGTAACCAACATCTAGAACTTATGCTATTTTATCTCTAACTCCCCCCCCTGTCCTGTTTGCCAGCTCAGCTGCCTACTCATTTGGTGTTCAGTTTTGTAACACCAGGCCCACAGAGCCTTTGATTTTTTTAAAAATCTTAACCCTTTTATGACCAAATTTATTTTCTTCTTTGAATTTTTTGTTGATTCCACGTGTTTTCAGTAATAGAAGGAAAAACCTTTCTTGAGGTACTACAGATTATGACATAATTGTGTGGGACACAAATGAGGGGGTTTCAAAAAGTATGTGGGAAAATTCCATTATCTTTTAATTCCATTTTTCCACAAACTTTCTGAAACCCCTCATGTGTCCTAAGTGGTAGGATTGCTGGGGTGAGGACCTTTTCTTCAGACTCACATCATTACATAAACAGGTTCCAGCCAGGTGGTAGTACATACTACAAGTGGCATATAGCAGCTTCCGCTGAGAGGCTGAAAGGTTGGTAGGCAATATATGTCCATGAATCATGAAAGGGTTACAGTCAAAAGAACCTCAGGTCCAATGTAGCAATGTAGGCTGAGCAATGGTCTGCTAACTGCAAGGTAAGTGGTTCAAGTCCACCAGCTGCTCTTCAGAAACCCTAGATTCGGTCACTACGAGTCAGAACAGACTCAAGGGCACTAAACAACAATGTAAGACTTTGCTAAGTATGTTGTTGTTGTTAAGTGCCATCAAGTAGATTATGACCCATAGCAACCCTGTATAGGGTTTCCGAGGCTGTGAATCTTTATGGGAGCAGAAAGCCTCATCTTTCTCCTGCAGAACAGCTGGTAGTTTCGAACTGCTGATCTTGAAGTTCACAGCCCGATTTGTAACCACTACGCTACCAGAGCTCCTTTTCCTAAGTATAAGATACCTGATTTTTAAGTTCTACAGCAGAATTCCTTTCTCTTTGGGGAGTTTTAAGAATCTGATAAGATTTATAGTCCCAGAAAAGCATGCCCAAACATATAAATGTACATAATTTTGAATAAAATTTGATGGGGTTTGCAATTTTTCTTGTTAAACTACCTCCTCTCCTGATTACAGTTGTTCTCTGAGCCCAGCAATTCTATTTAATATTAAAAAAATAAATCCTGCAGCATAAAATAACCTAAAGGTAAATGCTTGAAATAAGGCAAAGCCTGCTGCCCCAGGCTGGCTTAAGTTTTTATTAACTTCAGAACTTTCAGAGAAACTCCTTAAATATACTCTTATTTTGACGAAAAAAGGATAATATTAAAATAGACAACACAGAAACAAAAAGACATTAAAATGAAACATCACAATGAAAAACAATCTCTACTAAAGAAAGCATTGCAACATTACAAGGTCCTCATGAATAAATGGATTTCACGGGGAGACGTTTGTTTTTATTCTTTCCCTATTTCTCAACATGAACAATAAAAACAAACAGGAATAGTCCAACAACTCTTAAGACAAATTCATCTTTTTTTCTTCTCCTCATCCAACTTTATCCCAAAAAGTTCACTTCCAAAATTTCTGGTTATATTCTATTACATGGATATGGAATAGCTTACTAAATTACAGATTAGGAAATAAGAAGGCCTTGTTAATTGTACCAACTTTGCCTCTTCAGATCAAGAAGGAAAAGTTATGTCTAGTGAAAATAGGTGATGAAATGGGTAGCAAATACAGATGATAAGCAAAAATGCTTCAGGTGAATATGAATTCTTTTCTGTTCTAAAATGTTCTGCTGTTCATGCAGACACATTTTAGCTCTAATGGAGAGAAATATATCTGATATACTGTTAGTCACATTAGAGCCGAAAAGAGGATGAACAGTAGCTTAAGTCTTGAGTAAAGGGAACAGTGCAGTAAGGCATCCCAAAAGCCTGGTAGTAACCTAAAGGTGGCTGGTGTGGAGCTATCTAGAGAGAGGCAGAGACAAAGGGCCAGACCCTCTTGAGTTCCAAAGGTCACATTGATATTTGTTTCCAAGGGACTTCCCAATCATCCCCAAATGTGATCATTTTGGCAGCAAAAAGTAACATCCAGTTTTCTGAGTGCTATTTTCTCTAGTCAATAAAAGTAGGTCATCTGGCTTCTACGAATTTAAATTCTGGTCATCTGAGTTCTAAGCAATTAAATTCTTCCCAAGGAAATCAATGGGCTAGTTTTACTTGGGATCGTTCAGTTTGAAAAAAAAAAGACACAAACATTCCAGGCATTCTGATTTTTCCAAAATTGGTCCTCTAGCCGAAACTGAAACAGGACATAGAAACTCAATACAAATGACGACTGAATGATAATGTAAACTTCAATGACGTCTTGATAATTTCAACACTAGGTTCAATTACTTTAATTGCCTGAAGTAAAAATATATCCAGCGAAATAGAAAGAGAAACATATATTGTCCTAGTTTTGCTACCCACACACACGCACGCACGCAGAGTTGTTGCTCTTTTGACTTTCTACCTAGTACATACATATACTGCTCATTCAGAAGTAACTATTTTTCAGTTATAGAAAACGTTGGCGAGATAATTAGACCCACATCTCAATGCCGTGCGCGGTATCATCGAAGACTGTCCAAGTTAAACGGCTCCCATGGGTTCGAACCACGAAAACCTCAAAAACCGGAGAAAGATAAACAAAAAGCACTTCGTAGTCTAAACACAGGCACTTGGGGCAATAATACAGCTGCAAGAGGAGAGGATGAATTCAGAAAGAAGCTTAAGTGGCACACTGGTCTCCGACGCATTTCCTGAATCCGCCTAACACGCTCGTTGGCCCGGGTCGCCATTCGGGACCCAGAAGCAGGGAGATCCCGGGTAAGGGCGGCCCGGAGGGCGGGGGAGACCTCCTCACGCTCCCTCCCCAGAAAGAGAGTTAAGAAATAGAGGTGTGGAAACGGCCGCTTCCTGAACAACCTGGTTAAGAGACGCGGCTCAGCAGACTCCAAGACCCGAAGGCCAGCGGCCCGGGAGCCCGACAACGATCCGGGGCCCGGCCGGGTTCGCCCACTCACCAGCTGCAAGCCTTTGAGGGCAAGCCGGTGCCACTTGAGCCGGCCCGGGGAGAAGCAGGTGGTGAGACCGCTCCGGGCGCCCCTGGGATGTGGCTGGGCCTCCTCTGTGGTAGGGCTGTACACTGCTCCGTTCTCCATCGCCCAGGGTCCGGGAGCGCGTGGGCCGCAGCGGTGGCGTTGCGGACTTCGCCAACTCCGACAGAAGTCCGCGATAGTACAGCGCCGTCACTTCCGAGGTCCCACCCCCGCTTCCGGCAGGCCCCGCCCCTGCGCACTAGCCCCGCCCCCACCCCCTAGGCTCCGGGGTACATAGTCAAACTCCTGCCAGTTAGGTTGCTGCGTTCCTAATTTCACCTAAGATTTGGGTTGTCTCCATGGGCATTTAAACATTGATTTATTATTCACACCTCTTTAAATTCTCCATCTTCTAGCCATTATTCATTCATTCCTTCAATCCCTAGTTCTTGAGTGCCTGCAGTGTGCAAGGAACTGCTAAGTGCTGCTGTTAACCATGTTATCAATTAACAATACAAGGTCTCTGCTCTCAATGAGCTAACTTCCTAATAGTTGTTGTTGTTGAGTGCCATCGAGTCGGGTCCGACCCATAGCGACCCTGTACAGGGTTTCCGAGGGTGTAAATCTTTACGGGAGTAGAAAGCCTCATCTTTCTCCCGCGGAGCGGCTGGTAGTTTCGAACCACTGACCTTAAGGTTCGCAGCCCGATTCGTAACCACTACGCTACCAGAGCTCCTAATAGAGGAGATAGCAAATAAACAAACAGATAATCATTTCATGTAGTGATAATTCACTGCTGTCAAGTCAATTCCAAGTCTTAGCGGCCCTAAAGGAAGGAGTAGAAAAGGTTGTAAATTTTTACGGAAGAAGACTGCCTCATCTTTCTCCCACAGAGGGGCTAGTGGATTCATACCGCTGACTTTGTCACAGGGCTCTCCTGAAAAGTATCAAGAAAACATGCTATGATGTGATGGCGAGTTGGGTACTGAATAGAATCGTCAGGACAAGTGTTTCAGGACCGTGATATCACTGGTGTTGTTACGTGCTATCGAGTCGGTTCCGACCCATAGTGACTCTGTATAGGGTTTCCAAGGAGCAGGTGGTGAGCTTGAACTGCCAATCTTACAGTTCACACAGCTGTACACAGCGCCACACCAGGACTCTATGATATCACGAAGTCGAGTGAAACCTTAAGGATGAGAACGAGCCAAGCTTGGGAAGATCTAGAGACTTTCAAGTGAAGCAAACAGCAAGTGCAAATGCCCTGCACACCAAATGAGCTTGACTTATTCGGGAACCCAAAGCCTGGCATGGCTGGAGTTAAGTAAGAGGGTAGCAGGAACCTTGAAAACCAAGGGAAGAAACTTGATTTCGTTTTCAAAGCGATGGGCTGTCTGGAAGTTGGACTGCTCCTTCCTCTGAATTCCTTTTAAGGCTTGCTTCACTGCGTCTTTTAGTTTTACTTGTATTTTTCTTGTTCACCAACTATTGCAGTCACATGCTTTATCTTTGTGTGAACTTTAAGTAAAGTCATCTTTAAGTGACTCACTGGGGGGGTCGTGAAGAGCATACAGACCGCACTGGGTGGCACTGACAGAGTGACTGTCTATACAATTTTTGTGCAATCTTTCAACAGAAACTTATTATTTATCATTTTATTTAAAATGTTAAGCTATCTGTTGAATCTCCGGAGCTTCACAATCTCATTCATAGGCCATCACTATGGGGACAGGGCCCAGGAGGGCAGAGGAAGCCGACCACAAGCCACATGTTCTGGAACACGCAGCCCCTATCCCCCCTATTTCTTACCCCTACCCCCGCCACGCCCCTGTGAAAGGGGCCGTCCTCGCCTTGGTGGTACCCGGCTACCTCTTCTTCACTCTGAGGCCAGGCAGGGCGGCCCCTGCAGGATGCCGGAAAAGTCGCGGTTGGTGAGGCGGGGATCAGCGAGGCGGGAAGCCCACCATTACGTGAACTGAGCCGCGCCCTCCTTCTTCTCCAGCACCTAGAGTCCCCGCCCAGCGTGTGCTTTAGGCCAGCCACCACTCTGGGAAGGAGATTGAGAGACAAACACAATAATTGGATCGAGGGCTGACTTTCAATAGATCCCAGAAGGGATCTCTGCTACCTACTAAACGGTGACCCAGAAACGCTGACCCAGAGCAGTCATTCTAGGAGTGATTTAAATGTATTATGTCTGTCTGAAATGGTACAGGAGGAGGTCCATGGAGTGTGGCAGATGACACCAAGTCCGGTGACACCACTATCATCAAGACAAGTAACTATATTGTCACAACTGACATTTGAGGCATACTAGTATATGCCGGGCACACATATTTTCTCAACAGTGTATTGGAAACACCAAGGACAAAAGGCTGAGTACCATATTCAGTTCCAACGTCCAGTAAGACCAGCAGCTGGAATGGACGCCTAGGGAGTCTGACTGTCACCTTGCTTTTTAACCACGAACCCAACAAACCTTAGCCTCTAACCTACCTCTCCCTTGGTATCTCAAAATCTTCAAAGATGGGAGTAGTTATCATCTGCTCTTCTCTGGTCCCAAACCTCCCTTTCTTCCTCCAGTAGCAACAAAAGCTCCCATTGAAATGAACAGAGACAAATAGATACTACTCTGAGAGACAGTGTACTAGGGTTGTCTGCAACTAATCAAAAATAGCTTGCTGTCTTTGATTAAATGCATTCTAAATGTTCTCCGAGGCCAAGCAACAACTAATGTATTTTTACCAAAACATCAAGGATTATTGTTAATTCCTGGTATTCTTCAAGTCCTCAGCATCCTAAATAGGCCATTATTGAAGTCTGCAATTTGCTTTGAAATTCATCCAAAGCGCAAGATGGCTTGATGGATAATAGACGGATAAAATGCATATTGCAACGTGTTAATGATACAAACCATGTAGAGTATGTTTGTTGTACTAGTCTTTGTTAAAAATTTGTTTCAAAATAAAATGTTGGGAGGAAAAGTCTAAAAGAGAGAGAAACAACTGTAAAACAGCAGATAAAATGAACAGACCCACAATTGTGTTATTTTGTGTAGGATGCACTGCAGTTAATTCTGAATGAATTTAGAAAGAGAAAAGCATAGAATCTATACATTACTCTTTAGCCTGTGGTTCACAAACTTTAGGGTGCATAAGAATCTTCTAGGAAGTTAATAAAAAAAATAAAGGTTCTCAGAAAGCCAGCTCCAGAGATTCTGAATCTGGAGCATACACTTTCCTAACAAGCACTCCAGAAGAGTCTGATAAGAAAGCCTTCCAAACAGGAAAATACTGTTATATAATGTCATGAAAGTGAAAGCCATTAGGTAGTAGAGAACAGATGTGACATAGTTTCCTTTGTGCAAACTGACTTGGAAGTACCCAGACTTAGAGAATAACAACCCTCCCTAGTGTTGTTAAGTGCTGACTCATAGCAACCCTGTCGAGAGTCTCCTAAGAACGGTTGGTAACTTTGGACTTCTGACCTGCGGTTCAAACCAACTTTGCGGTCCAGTGCGTTACCCTACAGCACTGCCGTCGAGTCTATTCAGACTCACAGGCCACACTCAGTTTCTGAGGTTGTCAATCTTTATAGGAGCAGAAAGCTTCATCTTTCTCCGTCAGTGCAGCTGGTGGGTTTGAACACTTGTTGTTAGTAGTCCAGTACTTATCTTATAGCACCACCAAGGATCCTCTTTTAAAGTGTTTAAGTGCAAAGATGTCAATTTGAGGACTAATGTGCGTCTGACCCAAGTCATGGTATTTTCAATTGTCTCATTATTGTTAAAATGTCGTCAGGTCACTCTGTATAGGGTTTCTGAGGAGCAGCTTGTGAGTTTGAACAGCTGACCTTGCAGTTCAAACTAACCTTGGGGTCTAATGCTTATCCTACAGCAGCATACCAAAACTTCATGGAAGGCTGCAGAAGAATCGGTGCATTTGAATTATGGTGTTGGAGAAGAATATTGAAAGCACTATGAAACAAACAAGAGGAACAAACTAGTGTGTGTTGGCCAGAATACGCCTTAGAAGCGAGGATGGCAAGACTTCATCTAGCATACTTTGGACATATTATCAGGAGGGATCAGTCCCTGGAGAAAGACATCATGCTTGGTAAAGTAGTTGTTGGTAAGTGCTATCGAGTCAGTTCTGACTGATATCGACCCTGTCTAGGGTTTCTGAGGAGTGGCTGGTGGGTTTGAACTGCCAACCTTGTGGTTCAAACAGACCTTGCAACCCTGTGCATTATCCTGCAGTACCACACAAAGACTTCTGGTAAAGTAGAGGGTCAACAAAAAAGAGGAAGACCCCCAAGGAGATTAATTGATACAGTGCAACAGCAATGGGCAAAAAATTATAACAATTCTGAGAATGACGCAGGACCAGACAGTGTTTCGTTCTGTTGTGCATAAGGTCACTATGAGTTGGAACTGACTCAACGGCATCTAACAACAACCAGGTGGTGCAAATTGTGTTTCTTTGCTAACATGAAGGTTGGTGGTTTGAACCTACTCATCAGCATTGAAAAAGTAAGGCATGGTGGTCTATTTCTGTAAAGACTGTTGTTAAGTGCCATTGACTTGGTTCCAAGTCATAGGGACCCTGTATAGAGTTTCTGAGGCTGTAAATCTTTGCCGGTACAAAAAGCTCCATCTTCCTCCCATGGAGCGGCTGGTAGACTTGCCAGCCTTGTGGTTAGCAGTCCAGTGCTCATGCTATATATAGAACCACAGCCAAGAAAATGCGACAGAGCATTCTACTCTATAACTAACATAAGGGGTCACCATGAGTAGAAATCCAGTCATGACAATGGGTTTGGTTGTGATTTCTCCCTTCCGGTTAAAGAAGTGTGGACCTCTTATGTTTTCTTAATCATTTACAGATAAAATAAAGATTTTAGGGCTTCATGAGCACTTACACTGGGGAGTCCTTTTGCTGGGAGCATCCACACAGGAACTGTTATCCTCATTAATGAATTGTTGTTGTTGTTGTTAAGTGCCATCGAGTCGGGTCCGACCCATAGCGACCCTGTACAGGGTTTCCGAGGGTGTAAATCCTTACGGGAGTAGAAAGCCTCATCTTTCTCCCGTGGAGTGGCTGGTAGTTTCGAACCGCTGACCT